CTGTTCCGGGGGTTCCCAAAGGTGTGGACGGAGTCAGCGAAGACTATCCACCCTCTTCCTACGGTGGAGTCCTATCCGTCCCGAGTGCAGGGGGGCTTACCTAAGGGTCCCTGTTCAGGTGCCATATGTTGGGGTCCAACCCCAGAAGGTCTAGGGGTTCCCAAAGGTGTGGATGGAGTTGGTGAAGAATGAAGGACACGGAGGCAGCATTTAGTTGATCAGCATAGCGAGGTTCTCTAGCCAGGTTCTGTAGCCATGTTCTCTCGCTAGGTTCCCCAGCCAGGTTCTGTTCACATTTTGCTCTTATTCTTAAAAATTCTCTTGTTCTTTCATTTGAGGGTTGTTTCTTTGTATCCTCATTTTTTGCTGCTTGTTTGGGTATGTGACTCTGTATTAAGTAGATTTGCTAAGTCTCTCAATATCTGGTGTAGGACAGTGTCAACTGCTGATTCTGACTAATTAGATAAGGCAGAGACTCACAGCCTCCAGAGACTGCCTCTGTCTACAGACTGATAGGATTTTGTCTCAAATTGCCCTCAGGCAATCATCTACAGGCATGGCAAGAATTTGTTTTCAACAGGGTAGAGCAGTTGCTTCTATCTGGAGGTTGTTATTCTCAGTCTCTTAATGGGCCTGAGCAACTCTGCATTGTGGCCGGGGCCGGGGGGGGGGGCAAGGGGTTTTCCAATAGGGGGGATAAACAAAGTTGCCTGTGTAGCAAATGTATGCGTGAGAAAGATGACCTCTGCAGCATGAGGGAATGACTCGGCACAGGAAACAGGGTGTCTGCTTTCTGAGCTCTAACCTCAGAGCCCCCTATCCTGACTTCTGCTTACACAGCTCCAGTCCATTCTGCCTTCTCTCTGCCACAGCATAGGTGAGTATCTCCACAAGAAATTTGTGCATTGGCCCTTTTAGAGAGGTCCTGCATTTCCAGTTGTCTCTCCCTAGCTGACAGCAACCGTACTGTTTATCAAAGCCAGATGTTATGTGGGTACCCTTCTCAGTTCTGGTGCTTTCTGCTTGGGGGCCCAGCTTGGGGATTAGACCTCAGAGTTCTCAGTGGCATCCCCCCACAGCTGAGATATCTCTCCAGAACTTCAGCTGCTCTCTGTGGAAGCCTGGCCAGCCCTTTTGTGCCTCTGCCCCTCCTCCCAGTCTGTATGCAGTCTCTACTTTCCATCTTTGGTTATCAGGGTTCTCTCTAGTGAATCTTCCAGTGATTATTCAGGAAGTTTTTCTATATTTTAATTGTAATTTTCATATGGCCCTGGGAGCATGTTTGTGCAGCATCTACTTACTTTGACGCCATTTTTAATGTCCCTAACCTGGCATTTTTTACTCCTTTGCAGCCTGATATTGAGATGGCATGGGCCATGAGAGCAATGCAGCATGCTGAAGTCTACTATAAGGTGAGTTGTCTGTCGTCATTATTAAGCAGAATTAAACATGTACTGTTTCTTTTTCTGCTAATCACTATTCTTAGCAATTTAAACAATTGTGTTTTGGAGATAATTTTTATTACTGTAAAATCTTACCCACAGAGAACAGGGGTGTGGAAGTGAATTTTCTCTTGACAATGATGAGTTGAGCCTTGTTTTCCATATTTCTTTTTTTTTTTTATTGCTTAAAGTATTACAAAGGGTATTTGTTTTCCATATTTCTGTTGCTAACTGAGAAAAGGGTGCTGGGCCCATAGTAGGCAATTAATAAATGTTTGTTGACTGAATGAATGAACCATAGAGGGCAATAGCCAGGCAGTGCCAAGGCCAAAAGCATTTGAATTGGTGAAATGGACTGTAGGATATTATGACCCTTTAAAACTATGTCATGATTTCATCTTGAACCTAAGCTGTTTATATATTTCCTAATGAACTCTTCTGCCCTGAAAAGTTTTTCGAGGAAGAGGGGATAGAAGTGTAGTAAATTAGAGACTAGCATATGTATGTTGTCTTATTGTCTGGCAGCTGATTTCATCAGTTGACCCACAGTTCCTGAAACTCACCAAAGTGAATGACGAAATCTATTCTGAATTTCGGAAAAATTTTGAGAAACTCAGGATAGATATATTGGATCCAGAAGAACTTAAATCAGTTTCAGCTAAAGAGGTAAGAATTTTCTCTCTTAAATATTGCCTAGCATCTGACCAACAATTATTGATGATAAATACATTTTTATACATTTAAAACTGGAGGGGAGTGTTTTAAGGAAAACAAATAAAGAACCAGGGCTCTTATGTAGTTACTAGAGGCCCAGTGCGTGATTGAAATTGCATGAGGAGGCACCCCGCCAGGGGCCATGACCTGAGTAGCACGGGCCACCACATTGTGTCAGCTGGGGTGGGGGCAGGTGCTCCTGTGTGTTGTGTCTCCACTCTGGCCTGCCCCCAGCCCCAGCCTCACCGCGGCCACTGGGGTAGGGGTGGCATGCAGTCCCCTCCCGCCCATCTGCGCATGCACCTCATCCTGAGCAGTCGTGATGCTCGGCTAATTAGCATATTCCCTGTTTATATAGATAGATCAACCAATAAGTACATTATGAAATGACTGTTTTCCTGGTTTATGTTTTTTTTTATATGTTAATTGAATCTATTTTTCTACCTTTTTGACTTGGTTATTTCATTCCTAACCACCCAGCCCTTTCAAGAGTGGAGGAATAAATTTACCTATGTGAGTAGTTTAACTGGAACACTTGGAAGGAAGATTGGCAAATAGGGTACAGGGAGGTGTTTGGATTCTCTGGATTTAAGTTGACATTATCACAGGTCATGCTAAAACTTGTGTTTCTCATTGTTTACTTGATTAGCTTGTACTTTTATAGATCACTATAACTCTTATAATTGTGAAAAAATTTCCCTGAGAGTAGGCCCTTGGCTGATGAAGAACGTGTAAACTTTTAACTCTTATCAGGATGTTAACTGATCTTTGGAAAATTGCCTCTACTGAATAGATTTCTTTCTTGCAATTTAACTTTGTGACTTTGGGCCAAATTCTTGACTTCTTTGTCTTATTTGTGCTTCAGGGGGGATGAGTAGTCATTTAGCCAATAACTGAAAACAAAACAAAAACTCCATTTTACCGGTTTGCCTCAGTGGATGGCCTGCAGACTAAAGGGTCCCAGGTTCAATTCCAGTCAAGGGCACGTATCTCGGTTGCAGGTTCAATCCCTGGTTTCTAGTTGAGGCTCATGCGGGAGGCAACCAATCAATATGTCTCTCTCATGTCAATGTTTTTCTCTGTCTCTCTCCCCCTTCATTTCATGCTCTCTCTAAAAAAAAAATAATAATGGAAAAAATATCCTAAGTTGAAGATTATTAAAAACTAGAGGCCCGGTGCACAAAAATTTGTGCACTCAGGCGGGGGGTGGGGGCGGGGAGTCCCTCAGCCCGGCCTGTGCCCTCTCGCAGTCTGG